GAGCTACAGCGGCAGTATTTATGAACTTGTAAAAATGTTCAAAGGTCTTCAGGGCAAGTTCATTGCAGGGCATTTCTGTATCTTAAAGAAGTAGTATTTCAGAATATGTTTTGTTCGTAATAACTAATAAAACAATTTTCATTAAATGTAAAAAAGCACGCGATACACAAAGTAAATGTCCACTAAAACAAACAAATTTCTTTGCATGTGTAATATCTGAGCACAGAGCTGGGGTATCTTGGCTAATAAATGTTAAAAAATGAATAAAGAGCATAATGTTACCCAGATATTATCTACAGTTTGTGTTACAACACTATTTAACCACTTGCTGACCACCAGCAGTACACTTACTGCTGGCGTGCGGCTCCCATAGGCACCACGATGTGCCCGTATGTCGCCTTGTTCATGTGCGCTAGGCTTTTGACACTCTGAATGGCCCAGATACCACATGATCACTATGCAATCACATGTAACATAGTAAATTATAATCCTGAATGGAATCCATTCATGACATCATTGTTTACAACTGAGTGCGATCGGTGATTGATCACCAGTGGTCACATGGTACCTTGGCCAATCGCAGCACCCTGTTCCATGTGATAGCTGTGGGTCAATCACAGCATCACAATAGCAATTCATGACAGTTCAAACAATTGCGATTACAGTGATCATCGCTGCAAGCAACCACAGTGTAAAATTTTTCTTTTTGTTTTTTCATACATACTGTCACCTGTCAGTATCTCTGATCACAGCCACACCAGTCATATGACGACGCTGTACTGCAATGGTGACAATATGTAAAAAAAAAAAAAAAAAAAAGTCCTAATTTTTCAAAAAACATTACAACTTCAGTAAACTTGCCATGCCTCTTCCTAAATAGCTTTTAGACTGTCTACCTTTCAAAAGGGGGTCATTTGGCAGTATTTGTACTATCCTGGCATTTTAGGGCCAGAAATTAGATTGATCAATCCTGATGTACTGATGGCCTATTTTAAAATATACCATAGTTTGTAGACTCTAGAAGTTTGGCCTAGTTCACACTGGCGTTGAAAGCAGGAGTTTAAGGGGCGTTTTTAATGTTCCTCAAATTCTTTTGCAAATGATAATATCGACAGCACACAGTGCTGTCCACATTATCAAAACATGAAGCGTTAGCATTGTGTTGCTTCAAAATTGAAGCCTCATGTCGAGTTTGAAGGAGATGAAGCCATTCAACTCCTTCCATTGAAGTCTATGGTAACGCACTGCAAACATGCTAGTGTCACATTTGCGTTATGTTAACAGTTTATTTTTAGATAAAAAGGTGAGTCAAATACTCATTGGGTGCTCGGGGAAGCATTTTTACGCATGTCAATTGCACCTATTGACGTGCTTTAACGCTATACGCGTGTTTGTTTTGTCACATTTTGAGTCAAGTATGAACAAGCCCTTTCATGCAGACTAAATAATATACACAAATTTGGATGATTTTTACCAAAGAAATGTAGCAAACTACATTTTGGCCTAAATTTATGAAGAAAGATTATTATTTGTTTGAAAAAACAAAAACCACATTTTTCTTGTTTCTGTTATAACATTTTGTAAATTTTCAGTATAAAAAAAACCCAGTGGTGATTAAATACCACAAAAAGAAAGCTCTCTTTGTATGAAAAAAATATAACTTTAATTTGCGTACAGTGTTGCATGACAAAGCAATTGCCGGTTAAAGTAGCACAGTGCTGAATAGCAAACAATGCCCTGGTAATGAAGGAGGTAAAACGTTCCGGAGGTCAAGTGGTTAAATAGGTTTTGTTAGCATGTTAATTCATAATTTTATAGATAAGTGTAGTTTGGCATGAATGCATGGATTAGGATATGTATTCATAATAAAGCAATCAGTGTCCTTTAAAAATTAAGTGCCTAAAGGGTTTTTCTATTCTGACATAAAACACTATCCTGTATTTTTTAAATATAATCCATACACATCCACTACTTAAAAGTGGAGTTCCAGCCCCCACCACCTTCCAAAAAAAATAAATGTCAGCAGCTATGATTACTGTAGCTGCTGACTTGCAAGAATAGGACACTTACATGTTCATGCATCCAGCGGTGTCCTCACCCCAAGCTGATTCTTGAATCGGTTGTTGGGGGGGCTGGCAACACTGTCTTGGCTAAGGGAAACTGGCAGTGAAGCATTGCGGTTTCACCGCTGGTTTCCTACTGCGCATGCACGAAGCACACTGTGCTTTGTGAATGGGCCACGGTCCTCTGGCACCTTTGGAGTTTCCTAGAGGGGGCGGCGAACTGAGCCGGAAGTGGGATGGGGGGGGTACCTGTCAAAACCAGGTACCTACTCCCCCCAAAAAGGTGCCAAATGTGGCAGCGGGGGAAGGGGGGGGGGCAGAAAGGTAGTGCTTCCACTTTTGGATGGAACTCCTCTTTACTGACCCTGCAATCTAGTTTTCATGAAGCAGTTTACTACCTCCTTGTAATGTTCATGTCACGATATGAGTTCTCTGCCAGCCCAGTTATTAATTCCTTGTTTCTTTAATCCCTCCTGGCCATAGGAAGTGTATCCTCCAATTAGTATTCTACTCCTGTGTGCCAAAGGCCCCTAGCTGTAATTAACGCGCTCCCTCCACAAAAGGTCCCAAATTCAATTTGTGTATTCCCCCCACTGTTATTTTGTTTACAGCTACAAATTCAATTATTGTGCTTCCTTCCCTGTCCATCTTGCCCATTCTGGTTTGTGTCTAAATGTATATTCTTCCCCACTGTTATCCCGTTTACAGCTGCAAATCTAATTACTGTGTTTCCTTGACCATCCTGTTCAACCTGCTTTTGCCCAAATGTGATTGTTGCTATCTCCCCTCGGAGATAGCTGGTTCGCACCTCTCCATGGAGAAGTGCGAACCTCCTGTGGAGGATATCTGGGTCCCGGCGCCACAGAGACGCCACATGGTCCGGACATTCGTATCACACGAACGAAAGTTTGCCCGCTTATGAACACCGCCCGGACAAAGGCCGCGCTCATGTGAGTGCGACCCATGGCCAGGGGGGTGTGCCTCGTTGCCAAGCAACAAGGCACGCCGCCCACAGGCCTGCCCCATTACCAGGACGACCTGGAAGTGTCTAACACCGGTTTAAGAGACCGGTGCTAGTGTCTCTGATTCGTTTGTTCTGTTGTGCAGCCACTCGGGGATCCCAGCTGCAGTAGGACTCTAGTGGCCAGACTCTGCCTGAGCCCCATTGGAGAAGGGGGACCCCAGAAGCCACACCAGCTCTGCCTGAGACGCTGCGAGCTCTACCCAGGACTATCACACCAGCTCTTCGTGATTGTATGTCTCCCCTGTGCTATCTGACCTGTTTAGGAACTGCTCCCTACCCTCCCTGTTGGATTACAAACTGCTGTAGAGACTTTAACTTTGCCCACCGGGGCTGGATTACAAAATATTTTGGGCTCTCTCTCTGCACTACTCATTGAGTGACTGCTGTCTGTTTTAATAAAGTGTTTGCCATCTGCCTTGTGTGTTCTATCCTGCCTACCCTCCGTCACAGTCCTTTTTATGAGCTCTCAAGCCTCTCCTTTTCCCCTTCACTTCCGTTTGCTTAGAACAAGCAGGCTCCATTGGTCGTGGTCATGTTCACTGTTTTATGCACACTGGAGATCCCGTAGTCCAGGCCTTGAATTTCCACTCGTCTGCTCGCATTTGGCGAGTGGAAATAATGTGGGGGAGTGTGTGTGCTGACACCCACCCTGAGGAGAGCTTGGTGCGTGCCTTCAGGTGCACAGCTCCCGTTCTCTCGCTATCTCCCACCACCGCCTCCCCTGCCTCAGCCTGGCGAGAGTCACATGTGTCGGTTGGGTGGGGCCTCCTCTCCGAGATTCATTCATATATCCTGAGGCCAGTGACTGAGCTGCAGCTCAGAGCGGGAGGTGACGAATTGAGCGCAGGGAGGTGACGAATTGAGCGCAGGAAGGCCACGCCAGGCAGGAGAGCATCAGTGGCCATCACAGGGTGTGCACGGGATCCGGTAGGTTGGAGGTTGCCATCCTTGTGTTGGGGATGGGGAGCATTGGCTGCTAAAAGCACACACAGCCCTATAATAAAACGCACACAGTTAACCCTTTGATCGCCCCAGAAGTTAACCCCTTCCTGCCCAGTGCTTTTAATAGCACTGATCACTGTATTGGTATCGCTGTGGATGTCAGTGGCACCAAGTCCGTTCCCCCCAGTGTCAGAATGCCCGTCGCAGTACCGCTATAGGTCGTTGATCGCTGCCATTACTAGTAAAAATAAAATTAAAAGAAAAAAATTCCAGTTTCTATACCGCCATTTGCTAACACTATAACTTATACATAAACCAATTAATTTACACATATTGGGACATGTAGCAGAATACAATTTGGTATAAATTTGATTTTTTTATTGGACATGTTTAATAGCAAAAAGTCAAAAATATTTTTTTTTTCAAAATTGTCGTCTTTTTTTGTTTTTAAATTGAGATAATAAAGCTATGTTATAATTGCAGTTTTTTTATATTTTGAACTCTTTAATCTAAATAAAAATGTAATTTCATACGTTTAAGGGGGCATGGTTCGGGGCAGGGTTAGGAGACGGGCTTGGGGTGGGGTTGGAGGTGGACCTGGGCAAGGTTGGGTGGGGCAACTGGTTGAGAGTAAGGTTTGTGCCTGACTAGTAGGTCTAGACTCGAAATTTTAAGCCCTGCCGTAGTCCATTATCTATAGTCCATAGAGTACGTTGAGAGCAAGCAAGAGACGGTGGCCTAAGTTCCTACATATAGTGGGACCATGGAGAATGAATGTAGTCACCCTCTAACAGAAAGTCAGATCACAACAGCAAAATCGAACAAATTTAGAGGATGCTGAGAGCAATTGAAGGTATATATTTGAATATATTTTTTTACTTTTTAAACCAGTTTAGTGTCACTTTACGTTTTATAGTGGCTTATATTTTTCTTCTTGCATCCCTTAATATTTTTTTTTCTTCTATTTTCAGTGGGTGGTGTATTATTGGTCTTCTTGTGAATATTATTTCACTGTCTGCACTATTGCCACATCTGCTGTCAGAGCAAGGATATGTCACCACACACAGATTCAGCACACATTACCTCAAAAGAATTTTCAGTAGTCTCCGGGCTAGAGGTGAGCATGTTATATTAGAAAGATTTATGTACAGTTCAGTGAACACACTGAGCATGTCATTTACAATACCTTGTGAAAGAATACAACCGCTTTGGTGTTTTGTTGCATTATAACACAGAATTTAATTTTTGGGGGGGCTTTGTACCATGTGATTTACATGATTAAGATTTTGTAGGTGCAAAATATTTTTTATTATTGTGACACAAAGAGTAAGAAGAAAAAAAAAAATTTTGAGCGTATACACTCCTTTGCCATGAAACCCCTAAATAAAAATAATTTAGGTAAGGTCCACTTACTATACAGGTGAAACTCGAAAAATTAGAATATTGTGCAAAAGTTCATTTATTTCAGTAATGCAACTTAAAAGGTTAAAAATAATATATGAGATAGACTCATTACATGCAAAGCAAGATAGTTCAAGTCGTGATTTGTCATAATTGTGATGATTATTTATTTATTATTTTATTTCAGGTACTTATATAGCGCCGTCAATTTACGCAGCGCTTTACACATGTATATTGTACATTCACATCAGTCCCTAACCCTCAAGGAGTGTACAATCTAAGGTCCCTAACTTACATTCATACATACACATATTAGGGCCAATTTAAACAGGATCCAATTCACCTACCAGCATGTCTTTGGATTGTGGGAGGAAACCGGAGTACCCGGAGAGAAAACCCACGCAGGCACAGGGAAAACATGCAAACTCCAGGCAGGTGGTGCCGTGGCTGGGATTCGAACTAACGACCCAAGTACTGCCAGGTGGAAGTGCTAACCATTTAGCCACTGTGCTGCACAATGATTATGGCTTACAGCTCATGAAAACCCCAAATCCACGATCTCAGAAAATTAGAATATTGTGAAAAGGTGCAATATTCTAGGCTCAAAGTGTCCCACTCTAATCAGATAATTAAGCCATAGCACCTGCAAAGGGTTCCTGAGCCTTTAAATGGTCTCTCAGTCTGGTTCAGTAGGAATCACAATCATGGGAAAGACTGCTGACCTGACAGTTGTGCAGAAAACCATCATTGACACCCTCCATAAGGAGGGAAAGCCTCAAAAGGTAATTGCAAAAGACGTTGGATGTTCCCAAAGTGCTGTATCAAAGCACATTAATAGAAAGTTATGTGGAAGGGAAAAGTGTAGAAGAAAAAAGGTGCACAAAGCAGCAGGGATGACCACAGCCTGGAGAGGATTGTCGGGAAAAGGCCATTCAAAAGTGTTGGGGACTTTCACAAGGAGTGGACTGAGGCTGGAGTCAGTGCATCAAGAGCCACCACACACAGATGGATCCTGGACATGGGCTTCAAATGTCGTATTCCTCTTGTCAAGTTACTCCTGAACGAACAGCGTCAGAAACGTCTTACCTGGGCTAAAGAGAAACAGACCTGGTCTGTTGCTCAGTGGTCCGAAGACCTCTTTTCTGATGAGAGCAACTTTTGCATCTCATTTGGAAACCAAGGACCCAGAGTATGGAGGAAGAATGGAGAGAGACACACTGCAAGATGCTTGAAGTCCAGTGTGAAGTTTCCACAGTCTGTGTTGATTTGGGGAGCCATGTCATCTGCTGGTGTTGGTCCACTGTTCTTCATTAAGTCCAGGGTCAACTCAGCCATGTACCAGGAGATTTTGGAGCACTTCATGCTTCCTTTCGCAGATGAGCTTTATGGGGATGCTGACTTCATTTTCCAGCAGGACTTGACAGCTGCCCACACTGTCAAAAGCACCAAAACCTGGTTCAATGACCGTAGATTACTGTGCTTGATTGGCCAGCAAACTCGCCTGACCCCCATAGAGAATCTATGGGGCATTGCCAAGAGAAAGATGAGAAACATGAGACCGAACAATGCAGAAGAGCTGAAGGCCGCTATTGAAGCATCCTGGTCTTCCATAACACCTCAGCAGTGCCACAGGCTGATAGCTTCCATGCCACGCCGCATTGAGGCAGTAATTGCTGCAAAAGGGGCCCAAACCAAGTACTGAGTACATATGCATGCTTTTACTTTTCAGAAGTCTGATATTGTTCTATGTACAATCCTTGTTTTTTGATTGCATGTAATATTCTAATTTTCTGAGATTGTGGATTTGGGGTTTTCATGAGCTGTAAGCCATAATCATCACAATTATGACAAATCACGGCTTGAACTATCTTGCTTTGCATGTAATGAGTCTATCTCATATATTAGTTTCGCCTTTTAAGTTGCATTACTGAAATAAATGAACTTTTGCACGATATTCTAATTTTTCGAGTTTCACCTGTAAGTGCAGTCAAGTGCCACATGATCTCAGGTTCACCTTCCAGAACAATCACCCTATGCATACTGCTAAAACTACACTGGAGTGGTTCACAGGTAACCTTTAGTTAAGGCCCATAATTCAATCGAATTCAGAATCTGTGGCATTACCTGAAGATTGCTTTAGAAAACTAGTGGCTAGATGTACTCGGCTAATAGAGACATACCCCAAGAGACCTGCAGTTGTAATTGCAGCAAAAAGGCGGCTCTACAACATATGGACTTTGGGGGGCAGGCTGGGTGATATACACAAAAGATTTGGTGTTAGATATTGTTTGTCACAGTAATAAAAAAAAAAAAAAGATTTGCAGCTTCAAAGTCGTTCATTTTAATTTCAGGTTGTATTTCTAGAAAATAACACTGGGGGGGTGAATAATTTCGCAAGACACTGTACTGTCATAGCGGAGCACTGATAGTCTCCTTGTTCATGTCTTATTCAACTGAGTCCTAATTTATTAATGTTTACCTTTTAATAACCTCCAACCCTTTACAAAGCTAAAAACTATATATATATATATATATATATATATATATATATATATATATTTATTTCTCTGATAACACTTAACTTGGTTTGAGTGGAGCAGAGTTTTATCCCTTTGTGTCTGGAGAAATCTCCCCCACCTGTGGTACTGTCCTAGTACAGCAAAATCTTAGAGGCTTGGGTGATATACCTCTTAAGGTAGGTTCACACTATTGCAGGTGGGGGAATCACAGCTGTTCCTGAACCCACAGCCAAAACGCGACACTCTTTAAAAGTGCACGGTGCTGCGGTTCATTCTTAAGGGCACCCCACGCCTCTAAAAATGCAGTGCGTTTGCAGGTGGGGAACCACAGTGAAATCACATGGTGTAAAAGCACCATGCGATTTCCCAGCTGCTGTTTTTACAATGCTGCAGGAACCTTTTTCCTGCATGAAACGCAGGCACAGCAGCCCCTTCATATGAATGGTCTGCCATGCCCATGCAAATGCGGCTCACAAGCCTTCAATAGTGTGAACCTAGCCTTAGGGAGAGTTAACTGAGGTCCTGAAGAGTAGGGAAACCCCTTAAAGGATAGAATCCTGCCCAATTCTATGCCAGAGGAGCGCTGCACATTCTCTCAACTGAACTATTTTGAAAAACTGCGATGTGCTACATTTTCTGATTTGATGGATAGCACATTCTGATTACCTTCTCTGTTTTCTGTCATTTTTAGATGGATCTGATGTAAGCCCTACAGCTTTTGAGGTAAGGTGTGCTGTAGAAAAGCTTTTGTTACAGTGTGGACTTATAGACACAGATTTGGAGACTGATGCTAGCTTTGGAGACACAAGTATAGATCCAAGTCTCTGTGGATATGGGCAGAATGTTTCCTCACCATTTGCAGACACCAGTATTGAGCTGCCTGATCACATCTATTCATCCAATTTGTTAACTGTGGCAGTAAACAATTCTGAAATGTACATTGCAGGCTGGGTTGTGAGGAAAGCCTTTAGCCAACTGTCCTGCAACAAGTGCAGATGGGCACTTGTGTCTGAGCAACACCCTGTGGATTTTACAAATGCCTATCACTTACTGCAAGTTAAAGACAGTACAACTTGTTTTGTGCCCTCAAATGGAACAATTCGGACTCTGCAAGTAGTGGAGAAGGATGTGCATCGTATGCTGAATCATGGCAACTCAATGCAAAGCATATCTGTCCTCAGGCTGCAGCACCATGCACTAAGTACATTGGGTTCAGCAGATATATTTAATCTCCAAGAACACATAGCAGAAACAGAGCTGGGCATGGACAATCATCACTTTCAGCTGCTGCGTTTCATTACAACTATTTATTATGAACTAAGAAAAGCCTATATTGATAAAATTACTATAGCAAATAAACAAAGAACGCTTGGAAAACAAACACTGGCAAGACCTCTACAGTTTTAACGACCCTCAGGAACTTAAATAGGTGTTCTGACCATCCTTGCTAGGATCAGGTCCTGTGTCTGTTTATCCATTCCCACCATCACGATGTTGTCTTTCATTAAATATAGACAAAGCTAGAATTACTAGTGATGGCATGTTTACTGTCTTTTGTCTGTGGAACATTGATTCTGATGGAATGCAGAAAGGAAAAAAAAAAAATTCATTGCAACTCAATGTTACTAATCCCAACACTCTGCATTAACGCTATCTGGTCTGCCACAGTACACAAAACATGGAAGTGAAATTTATTTTAGTAAATATAAACTGCTAAATACCATTTCTCATTAGCAGTTGGAGCAGTCTTGTGATTTCTATCAGTGTCCAGACAAGCACATATTAAAGCTTGTAGGAGTTTTCATTCTGCTGTAGGAGGATGCAGGACCCCTGACTTCTCTCTTGCCAGTGCTGATTGGCCCTGTGCTGATCACATGCACTCTCCCAAGAAAAAAACCTCTAGCAATACACACCAAACTGAGCATGAGCAGAGTGACTCCGCACAATATGTCTGATCAGAAGATTAGAGGGGTGGGGGGCTTGAAGAAGGGGAAGATTTGAGAAGTCAGGATCAGACAGCATTTTTACATAATGCGGAGGATTAACCGCTTAGGTTTCACAGTGAGTATAACAAGCATGCTTTATTGCATATACAGACTGATTTTACTGTTGTGGGTTTAACACTTTAGAGCTGACACTTGAATCATTTTTGCATATAGTACTTCCATTACTGTAAAAGTTTTTTTTTTTTTGTATGAATAAATGGCATTGAAGACAGGCATAAGGAAACTGGGGTCTATTTTACAGATATTGTGATACACAGTTTTTATAACCACATCTATATCAAATCTAGCTGCTGTAAGTTAAGCAGTGCAATAACAAGTATAAAGATAGCATCTTGAGAACATAAAAGTGCAGTTTCCAACAGCAACTGGCCTTCAGTTTTAGTGTAGTCAGAACAAAGATGATTTATCACTGGTGTCTATCAGTAGCAGAATAAGTTGTTTGCAATATAAAAAGATGATTTCTGAATACTGTATTTTCCGGCGTATAAGGCGACTGGGTGTATAAGACGACTCCCTAATTTTTCAGTTAAAACATAGGTTTTGGCCTATACTCGCTGCATAAGACTACCCCCCCACTTCAGAGGCAACACCAGTTTTTTTTTTTTTTTTTTTTAAATAAATTTTTATAATACTGTGGCTTTGGCTACAAAACGTCCCTGTGCTGACACTGTATGAACTGCGCTGAGCCAATCACGGCAAGCGGTGTATTCATAATTCATATGCATAAAAAGCCTGCTCGGATTGGCTGAGTTAGGGAGGCAGTCTATTCAACCTTTGCCAATCCGAGCAGGCTTGCCGTGATTGGCTCAGTGTCAGCACAGAGACGTTCTGAAGCCGAAGCTACATAGGGCTTCCAGCGGCACATCCAGCCGAAGATAAAGAAGCTACATCCAGCGGGGTAAATTATTTATTGATTAAATAAATTAATTATTGGCAATCTTTCACTTGGGGATGGTGAAGATGTGCCCTCCATATTACCTCAGCTCCCGGGATGCACAGTTTTCCGGCATATACCCGGCGTATAAGACAAACCCGATTTTTGGGGGATTTTGTTTTAGTGTGAAAAGTTGTCTTATACGAACGCCGGAAAATACGGCATTTTAAGTCCCTAAGAAGCCTTCAGTGCAGGCTCAAGTTTCCAAAATATTCCCATGTTCAGTGTCCTATGTTTTCCAATGGGTCATTGGAGAGAAAAAAAAGGGCTTAGTACTCAATACAGAGGATCAACGCAATGAAGCACTTGCTAAACGTCAGTTAAATGCCTGTTCTTTTTGTACAAGGATTAGCAGTCAGCTCTTGCATAAAATAAGGTGTACGTATAAGATAACCCATAAAAACTATTGTGTAGTCAAAAATCATGGTCCAGTCTACATGCTCACTAGTGGATATGCTACAATTACAGTAATGGTTTGTATACATTCACATAAAGACTGGCTTGTAAATAAAAACAGCAATTAAAGTGTACAATTATTCAAAATACATGTGTTTCACTGTGTAAAGAATTTATTTACATATAAAGAACAGGTAAACCTTCAAATTTACACAGATGTAAAAATAACAGATCAATCTTTACATTTTTTTATACAGTAATCTACCTGCTAAAAGTTAAGTCTATCTTAGGGCTGGTTCACACCATGAATCGCAATTCACATGCAATCTGGATACAGTGTTATATCACACTGGACCATGCCAAAAGTAGTGCATGCACTACTTTATAAATACACAGCTACTGGATCGTATGGTACGACTGTAGCATGCAAAGATTGGTGCATGCAAACGTACTGCATTTGGAGTGTCCTTAAGTTAACGCTGACACCCGCTACAGATTAAAAGTGCAGTGTGTTTTTAACACAGTGCGGGATATGCACACGGAACATGGGTTTCCTGCACTCTGGTGTGAACTAGCCCTAAGTATCAAAGTCATTTTTCTGTCAGTTATGTAATATAGCATTGTATAGAAGCTCCAAGACAGTGCAAAATATCAAACAATTAGGAGCAATTAGAAACAAGTGGGTCATTCTGTGATAGGGAAATATAAAGAATGCTGTAAAAGGAAACTTAAAAGCTGTAAGTTTGTATAATTAAGAATACCATAAACTGAGGCATGGCTCTTTTTCTATATTAATTGCCTCTGGGATTTGTGATTGCAGCTTAATAGACTTACCCAAAGCATCTATAATATGGGCCTTAAGCAGGCCATACATGCTGCAATTTTCTTTTCCTGCAACTGAAAGAAAAAAAAAAAAAAATGCTTAATGTCACCATCAACACAGTCAGAGGTGATGGGGGAACTCCTACCGTGGAGCCATTGTGTTCTTCAAGGGGGAATGAGCCACCCCCATTAGGAGACTACAGTGATTATGGCTAGTGGCAATACAACAATCAACTTGGATACAATCAGCCAGTCCATGGCTGGTTCAGCATTTGAACAATCTATGGCTGGCTTAGGTGAGAACTGGGCACTGAAGATTATTGCAGATTAAGAAGGTTGTGACAGCAAGGTTTGAATATCTAAAGGTAAGAATTCTGAAGCTTTTAACCTTTAGATGCAGAAGTGCCCCCATTTGCCTGGTTTACATATTTGCACAGACTGAATTCATAACTCCAATAATTGTTTTTTAGCCCGGATTACAAATAGTTAAATCTCACTATGTGTATGCCACCTTTTGGTTAGCTGCAATGTAACTCACTGAGCCCTGATAGCAGAGCTTTCCCTATAGTTCCAGTGCTTCAGGCAAGAGACTTGTCGCTCTCCTACACAGCCACTGTCCTATCCCTTTGTCTGCCTCTCCTCCAGTCACAGAACGCTTTGTATTCTGTGCAATATTCACAAAATACAAAGTGTTCTATAAATGGACAAAGGAGAGAAGGCTACTGTGCAGGAAAGCTGCAGGTCTTCTCTTGCAAAGGAAGAAGTCTAATGAAGGCCCTTATCTGCACGCAACTGAAGTGTAAATAAGCAGCAGCAATTGGAGAGGTGGTATATGCCTCCTACAATTTAATTGTTTGTAATCTACAAGTTTTTCCACTGGAGTTCTTTTAAGATACTTTAGCCTAGTTTTGCTGTAGTGCACAGTCCTGGATGGTTTAGGTATACATTTCCATATATTACATATGAAAAAACTTGAGCTATGTAAATTACAGGTCATAAAACTGATTTGAAGAGAGGCTTGTCAGACAGATAACATAAATATGATTTTTGCAGTTCAATTATTCTGAAGCTGTCAGCAGCATTCATTTAAGTGATGCACTCCATGACATGAATCTGCAGTGTGTCCATATCTGGTACCGTCAGCTGACACTTAGGACATGTATGTACATTTAGACTTGGCTGCTCCAAATTCTCTGCTCCTGCAAATAAAACCATAAAGGTGTAAATATGGCAAAGAAGCTGTTACTGTAGCTTTAATGCAATAAAAGGTTTGTACATATTTTATTAACAACTGTATGTTTCAAAATGTCTGGTACTTCCAAATGCTGGCACTTTTCATCCATTGCTTGCCTTATGTAACTCCAATCCGCAATAAAAAAAAAACTGCTATGCGGTGTCTCCTACATTGCAAATTTTAAATGCCATTTTGAAAGTATAGAAAACAATACGCTCACGTCACTCCTTTTTGCCACTTATCTAGTCATAACTTAATGCAGGAGCAGCAGTCCTGCATTGCATGTGAGCACACTGAGGACCTATGCTCTTACCAGGAGAGGAGCAGAGTGGCAAGAGAATGAGGAAAAAGGCAGGTAAGTATTGCTGCTCACTTCTCCCCCCCCATTTTTTTTTTTTAAGCGTTTTCTCTATTTGGCACAAACACCAGCTTGTGGGAGAAGGACCCACAAGGAAAGAAGTCCCAACACGAAAAATCTGCAGCTTAGAAAAATGTTTATTGAACACTATCAAAATATCAAATTGACAAATATGATTTTCCTGTATGCATCCGGGGCCCTGTATTTTTGTACCTTAGTTTCATCCATTTGCAGTGTTGCTGCACCTGATATTGTATTCTGCTAACATCTACGATGCCTGGAGCCTTCCTAGCCCTATCTCCATGTCACATATTCCAGTGTGAGTGGTAGGTATGTCTGAGTGCCCGGGTGGGTGTTTTTATGATATGGCAACATTGTCATTGTGTTTTATTCTTCTGTAGGGTGGAGGGATATTTGTCAATTTGATATTTTGATAGTGTTTAATAAACATTTTTCTAAGCCGCAGAGAAACACTCATTCATTGGGACTTCTTTCCTTGGGGGGATCCTTCACCAACAAGCTGGTGTTTGTGCTGCAAATCTCATTGGTCCTGAGGACACCACCTTTAATTAATTTCGGTGAGTCAGCCTAATTATTCACATAATACTTTGGCAGTGCTTCCCGATTTCTGGTTTTAATATTTTTGCACATTTTCTCTATTTGTCTTGGTGATTACTGTTACTAGGACTGTATTTAATAATTTGCCAACCAGGCCAATTCTGGTACTGCTCTCCTACATGTAAAAATCAGCTTTTTTTTTTTTGTCTAGAACAGTGGTGGGCAACCTTTTTTTTCAACTGAGCCAAATCTCGCCAAAACCACGATTGAAATTTATTTTGAGAGCCACATTTTTAAAACTGAAAATTCATCCCCCATGTAGTAATTCATCCCCCATAGTAATTCATCCCGCATATAGTAATTCATCCCCCATAGAGTAATTCATCCCCCATAGTGCAATTCATCCCCCATAGTGCAATTCATCCCCCCTATAGTAATTCATTCCCCATATTGTGTCAATTCACTTACCTTTGCTTGCGCGTTCCTCTCGCTGTGTTCCTGCGCCGTTCCGGTCTTCAGGGCGGACTGTGAGAGGAGAGGCGTTCGTCACGCTGCCCCGCCTACATCCTGACAGCCAATGTTTGCCACGCTCCGCGGGCTGGATTAGAAGGTCCGCCGGGCCGTATGCGGGCCGTAGTTTACCCATTGCTGGGCTAGCTGCAGATTCCTGACTTTTGGGGCGGGCCGCCCGAGAGGAGGTAGGGGAGCGGGCGCCCGGCCCACAGAAGAGCCGCATTAAAGTGTGCAAAGAGCCGCATGTGGCTCACGAGCCGCGGCTTGCCGACCACTGGTCTATAACACTGAGAACCCCCAAACATTATTTAAAAATACAAAAAAAATATTGAAAAAAATACAACTTAATGAGTTTTAATGCGCAAAAACACAATACCCAATTGGAACAGCACCAAACTATGGTACCTACACATCTCCATAGGCTTCAAAAGCCTTTACAGGTTACCAGTGTAGAGTTACACATGTGTTCTGGTGCTAGAATTATTGCTCTCACAATATCGTTTGCAGCGATACCGCACATGTGTGATGCAAACACCATTAACCACCTTCACATGCATTCGCCTTTGCGAAATTACGGGGGTACTTTAAAATGTTTATTTTTATACGGTCTCTTTAAAAAAAAAAAAAAGTATCACTTTTATTGCTGCCACAAGGAAAGTAAACCTCCATTGTGACAACAATAGGCTGTGACTGGAGCCCAGACTTGAACCCGATTGAACATATCTGGAGGAATCTGAAAATGGCTGTGCACTGACGCTCTCCATCCAACCTGATGGAGCTTGAGAGGTACTGCAAACAAGAATAGGAGAAATTGCCCAAAAATAGGTGTGCCAAGTTTGTAGCTTCATACTCCGAATGAATTGAGGCTGTAATTGCGGCTAAAGGTGCTTCAAGAAAGTATTGCGCAAAGGCTGTGAATACTTATGTACATGTGTTTTTGTTTGTTTTTTTATTTTTAATAAATTGCAAATATTTCAAAGCAAACTATTTTCATGTTGTCATTATGGGGTATAGTTTGTAGAATGTTGAGGGGAAAAAATGTATTTAATCAATTTTGGAATAAGGCTGTAACATATTAAAATGTGGCAAAAGTTCAGCGCTGTGAATATTTTCTGGATGCACTGTATGTTAATATGCACCATGAAAAAAATAGGTGAGTATGTTAAATAGAAAATGATTTTTAGACATTTTTGCAGTACTTTACCTCTTGCCACACGGTGGGGACCTTCTGATGAAGGCACATGGCGTCTTTGAAGCTGCTCTATTGAATGCCTGAAAGAAAATATTTTAATTTTGTTACTTTTACATCAGCAGTCCTACAGTAGCAGGGACAGTCCTTACATTCAATGAAAAATATTTCTTGCGCTGATGCCCGCTGTCCTAGTTGAAATCTTCAGTCCTCTGAACCACAAACTTACCCTTCCCAACCAGGTGGTAATCATCCTGTGCTGCAGGGGTTAATACAGCTACTGGACCTGTCATAAGCACATGTTAAGAGTGTCAACTATGCCTGCCCACACTTCTACATTCAAAGAAGCTGTCCTATAGCTTCCATCGATGAAAAGTGCTTCTATGAGTGGAAGCACCGAACCTTTAATTCATCCACCATTCATGCAGTGCTTTAAATTGATAGAAAAACTTTAGTACGGTTGCTATGAATGGAGGAGGGTGTGGAAATAATAGGCAAAGTTGGCATTCTTGAGGGCCTATGACAGTTCTGGTGGCTGTATTAACCCCGAACAGCAACAGAAGATTAATAGTGTGGGCACAGGACAGGAGATTTCAACTAGGACAGTCAGCACAATGGTTAAAAAAAGACTTTGTTTTTTACTAACTGGGCCGCAATATTAGATTTTAGCCATTACATATGTCATAACATGACTTGACTATAGAAGGCCACAAGCACAGTTCCACAGTTCAGCTTTTGTGTCATTCTTATGTCGCCTGTAAAATGTACAGGACTGCAAGTTGCCAATAATACTAAATCTAAAGGGTCATGTGAGGTGCTGAACACAAAGTTAGCTACTGCTGCTTTGTCTATCAAACTATACTGCAATAATATTTGTCATGGGGTTCATGCAAATATGAACATTTACATTTATTATGGATTTTAAAGCTATTTACAAATCTGTGAATAACTACCTTCCCTTCAGGGATTCGTTTTCTTCCAATATGAGTGCCAGCTGTGTTGCCAAGTCCTCCTTTTCCTGATGAATATTTTGTCTGGCTTCTCTTTCCGCATGAAAATCGGAACAGTAGACATCAATCTATCAATAAAAGATGTATAAGCAGTGCATGAAAGAACCTCAATACACTTTTATTTTGATCTAGCTTCCATTAATGCTCAAAATACCTGAAGGACTTAAAAAGAAAGAAGGAAGGAGGTTTACATTAAATACTATGTAATGCTACTGGTGAGAGCTTTCACGCATGCACAGCACTCCTCCCTTCTCTGCTGTCAGTCAAGCCTTTGGTTAATTATTAGGTGGTGTTCCCGCACAGGATAAGCTGGATGTTTAGGCACCCCCTTTGCACTGGCACATTCTGTTGTACTCCCTAACAGGACCATGCAATTATTATTATTATACAGTATTTATAAAGCGGCAACAGTTTGCTCAGCGCTGTTCATTACAATTAGGATGACAACACTGCTGAATGCAAGGAACAGAGTATCAGCATCTGCGCCACTACTGTACACATGAAATGGCTTCATTCATGCCATCCATTGTATACTAGTGTGCCTAGATGTGAATGGTCACAGCGATCACATGCACAAGCTGGGTCAATCACAGCCCAGCTGTGTCATTTGATTAGCCGTGGCCAAATCACAGCTAAGCACAAAAAAAAAAAAAAACCCTTAATAAATCTATGTCATTCAGGTAATTCTTTGCTATAAGCAAATTGTGTAAAAAAAAAAATACTGATCACTTCCCCAAAGTAGTACAATGTTACTATGGTAACATTGTACTACTTTGGTCATAGTGAAGTATGAAAAAAAAAAATCTTAAAAAAAAAAAAAAAATGTAATAAAAAAAAAAACAATTATATATTTTTTTTCCATACCGTGAGTGTCCCTGATCACCGCCATGCCAGTTATATGATGATGCTGTACTGCACTGGTGACAGTATGTAAAAAAAATATCAAATTTTTTACATTTTTTAATTTTCCGAAAAAAATGACAAAAAAAATACAACTTCAAAAAACTCGCCATGCCTCTTATGAAGTACGTCGGACTGTCTACTTTGCAAAAAGGGGTCATTTGGGGGATATCTGTACTGTTCTGACATTCTTGGACCTCAAGACATTAGATTGGCCGTCAGTACTTGATCAATATTTAGATCTATACCATAGTTTGTGAACTCTATAACTGTCCTACAAACTTAAAAAATACATCCTAATTTGGATTATTTTCACCAAAGACATGTAGCAGAATACATCTTGGCCTAAATTTATGAAGAACAATTATTTATTTGCAAACTTTTATAACAGAAACAAAGAAAAACGTGTTTGTTTTCAAAATTTTTCAGTCTTTTTTTGTTAATTTAGCAAAAAATTAAAATCCCAGCGGAGATTAAATACCACCAAAAGAAAGCTCTAGTTGTGTGAAGAAAATGATAAAATTTTAGTTTGAGTACAGTGTTGTATGACCGCGCAATTGTCATTCAAAGTGTGTGAGCGCCGAAACCTGAAAAATGGCCTGGGCAGGAAGGGGGTAAAAGTGCCGGTATTGAAATGGTTAAAGACAAACTGTCCCCTGCATAGATGCAAGTTCATCTTTACCTCTCTCGATGTCTGTGCCACTCTGTCTTGTAGTCAGATACAACTCTTGAAAAATCTTCAGACTCGGACACTTCCAGGAGTGTCGAATTCCTGATCCTCCCCACACCCTGCAGTTACTCTCCCCGACCCCTACATCACTTCAGGACACAGTCTGTGAATGAACACAAAGCTTCCTCTGATTGGCTGAGCTGATGATGTCACACTCTTTACCTCAGCCAAAGGAAGCTTTGTATTCAGCCACAATACAAAGCTGCATACGAATGCCTGAGCTCCGCTCAGACCGACTCTGCATTATTCCAAGTGTGAGATGGGAAGGCTGCGTCTCACACCTTGAACCCAGCGCTGTGTACTTTATGTAGCTAAAGCTACACGCAGTACATCCAGTGCTTAGAGACACTGCGGCACTTAGTGAAAGAAGTGGTTTGTTTGGACCAGCTTAGTCCAAACAAACTAAAGTGAAAGGAAACATGGAAATCCGCTTTAAGCAAATGTTTAGAAAGTTTTTGCAGACCTTTGGGCTGAGCACTGCAGGCATTTATTAACCACTTTTATACCGTACTATAGCTGAAAGATGGCTACAGCGCGGGCTCTCTAGTTCTGGGAGAGCGTCCATGGACGTCCTCCCAGAACCCCATCCCCTATGCGCCCCCTGGTGCATGCATCGAGTGCACTCTGTGAAACAGCTGATCACAGACTGCGGTAAAGGGCCAAACACAGCGGTCCTTTACCATGTGATCAGCTGTGTTCAATCACAGCTGATCATGTGTAAACAGACTTGCCAGTCAGCAGTCTTTTCCCTCACATGCTGTGTCTGAGGAAAGATCAGTGCCCTGATTATCATTGCAGGCTATCCGTGAAGAAGAAAAATTACTTATTTGCAAAATTTTATAACAAACTAAGAAAAGCTTTTATTTTTTATCCACAAAAATTTGTTCTTTTTTTGTTTAGTAAAAAAAAATTTAAAACCCAGTGGTGATTAAAATACCACCAAAACAAAGCTCTGTCTCAAAAAAAAAAAAAATAAAAATTTCATATGGGTACAGTGTTGCATGATCACGCAATTGTCAAAGTGTGACAGAGCTGAAAGCTGAAAATTGACCTGGGCAGAAAGGGGGTGAAAGTGCCCTGTATTGAAGTGATTAATACCCACTGATTGCGATACTCTGTAGAGTAGTGTTTTAAAAACTATCATGAAAAAAGGAAATGTGCAATTAAAGCAAAACAGTGCAAGGCCATGCTATTGGCTACCTGTCACCAGGGCTGTGGATGAGGGGGTACTACTAGTCCTGTATGGGACCACAGGCAGCTGGATGAATCGGATGTGGGCAGGGAGGGTGTTCAGCATGGCGGGAGGGCAATTACTGGAACCGATCCTCTGTATGGCTTTCTCTGCAGCAACTGAAGGCTGGTTTCTCTTCTCCTCTCCTTTCAGCTGCTGCAGAGAGAGCCATACAGGGGGATCAGTTCCAGTAATTGAACCTAGAGATAGGTACCGATCACTCACTGTGTCCATTCATAACTGAAGCATAGTAAACTGTTTGTTTTTTTGGGGGAGGGGGGATGTCAGATTGGTTGTTTGAGGTCCCGTGGTTTCTAACAGCAGCCCTGCCTGTCACATTAAAACATAAGCCTAGCTTACCTAAACTTAAATCTGAGTGTGGGCTAACAGCACCTGGTGGCGTATAGGGACAATGATCCATACAGTTTCAATGGATCTCATTTAACCTGAGAATGGTTTAGCAGCATGCTGCAATCGTAAATGTGAAATTGTGTCCTGTAATATTGTCATGTGAGAGGTCAACACCAACTACATAAAGAGGTCATCTGTTCCCACTACATACAGTACTAATGGAAGTGTCAGTGCCAGTTTTAGGTTAGCTCCAATCTATTCTAGAGTTAGTCACCTTGCAGACAACACAGCAAAGAAAAGAAGTTCTGCTTTAGCATACCTGAGCTTTGAGAAGTGCTATTGTCTCAGCATCTTCCCCATGTTTGTTGGCTTCTTCCTTCAGCGCATCGATCTCTAGCTGTTTTTTAGCCAGAGCTTTTTCACATGTATCCAGCTTTCCCAATAAATTTGTCAACTGGACTTTGGGCACTTTCTCAGCCTGGACAAAAAATAAAGAACAACCAGTGATATTATGTGATGAAAAGTGCCATTTTAAAAATTGTTTAGTTTTAAAGACATAAGACTGTAGATAAAATAGATTCATGCCAGATATTGTTTGCAGATTGGGAGAGTTATATTTTTTTGTTGTGATGAGAATATAGAGTATAGGTACTTTAACATTATCAGTGATATGACAATCAAAAAGCACTGCTCACCCAGCAGCTGATAACCTAATCCTGAACTAGAAAATTCCCAATGCCAAGCGCTGACAGGTTAAAGTCCCAGCAAAAGAAAATCAATGAACAGCAGCTGGTTAGCTGAGGTTGTGTGTACAGCACCAATCAGAACTGAAGATCACAGCGCGGGCACTTTCTCTGTGATCCTTGACCATGGATGGAGAATTGTAGAAATGAGTTACTGACTGCTACATATTGTAAAAAACGGTCAGCTGGGTCTGCAAGCCTACGTAACATTTTGGTCGGCATGATGTATGGTATTTCTTTTATCATTTGCTGCCTCCAAGAGAAAAAGAGCATGAATGTATGAAATGTGTCAACCAGCAACCTCCTGAAGATAGATATATATACAGTCAGGTCCATAAATATTGGGACATCAACACAATTCTAACATTTTTGGCTCTATACACCACCACAATGGATTTGAAATGAAACGAACAAGATGTGCTTTAACTGCAGACTGTCAGCTTTAATTTGAGGGTATTTACATCCAAATAAGGTGAACGGTGTAGGAATTACAACAGTTTGCATATGTGCCTCTCCACTTGTTAAGGGACCAAAAGTAATGGGACAGAATAATAATCATAAATCAAACTTTCACTTTTTAATACTTGGTTGCAAATCCTTTGCAGTCAATTACAGCCTGAAGTCTGGAACGCATAGACATCACCAGACGCTGGGTTTCATCCCTGGTGATGCTCTGCCAGGCCTCTACTGCACCTGTCTACTGCACCTGTCTTCAATGACCATAAAATGAACAAACATGAAAGATGTACCATGAATTTACCTCTGCATTTTTCAACAGCTCGTACTCAACTTTCTGTTTGTCAAATGATTCCTGCAGAACCGACATCAGCCTCCTTTTTGAAGAAACAAGTGTAAGTCATTTGTTAATTATATTATATAGGACAAACACAGTAAAAGTGATAAATGTTAGTTCTTGCAGTTTTACTGAACAAAAATAGTAAAACTGGAATGAAATGATAGATCGATAATCTGGTATACAATAGTATGTGATTTAAAAGACAAAATGTATTTGTTTAGCAATTATACAGAATAGACAGCTATTGCTTTGAGCTAGGCATTTCAGGTCAGAGCACGCTTACATTTGTTCTTCAGTTTTGCTCTGCTCCATTTTGATTTCTGAGTTCAAGCTCTCCACTTGCAGTTCCAATGTCTGGACAGAACATAGAAGCTTCTGTCTTTCATCCACATCAAACTTGTTTTCTGCAAGTTTCTCATCAAGAGACAAACATCTGGAAAGTAGAGAAAAAAGTGCCATGCTAACACTGAATAAGTGTGAAATAGGACTGTGAATGTGCCCTTTTTGTTAATATATGATATAGAATATATTGATTCCTTCTGGTATATCTTGACACTGATCATAGTATTTGAATGAAAAATAAAAACTAACTTGTTTGCTTCCCAGGTATTACGGCACGTGCTGAGAAAATATTCCAGCACACTGGAAAATATCAAACCATTTAAAAAAGGCCAGTGTGCATGGTTTTATAAGCCCCCATTCACACCTGAACATTTTTTTCCTGGTCTTGATTTGTCTGAAATATGCTCAACATGCACAATCCTACTTTTCTAATTGCTCCTGTACAACGTTGTACGTTCACTCGGCCTGCATTCTACACCCAATAAAGTACCAGAGCTTTTCTGAGTGTATTTAGGCATTTTTGGTCCCATAGGCTCAATGAAATTGCCTGTAAATGTGCAATATGTGCATTTGTACACCTGAAGAATGCCTCTCCTCGTATAGAATTGCTCTCCTCCTCTTGCCCAGCTCAGAAAACAAAATTGTGAAGCTTGATGAACAAACAAACAAAAAACACTTCCTAAACACCCAAAAATGCTACAAAGTCACCAGAAAAACATTCACGTGTGGGCTGGGACAAGATTGGGTAGAAGGGGCAAGCACACTTGCTGCAATGTTCACAAAGGCACTTCAATGCATCTAGTTGATGCAGTATAATGCATGGCTCAAAATATCAACCCGTCCCCAAAAGCCAAGGTTCTAGGTGTAATCCTGGACTCTGAACAATCCTTTCAGCCCCATATCTAATCACTGTCCAAAGCTCGCCGCCTCAAGAACTCCAAGGTACACCCCTTCCTAACCAATGACACCGCAAAGCTTCTAAGTCACTTCCTGGTCATCTGCCGCCTTGACTACTGCAACTCCCTCCTCACTGGCTTACCTTTACATAGGTTATCCCCCCCTTCGGTCCATAATGAATGCTGCTACCAGACTCATCCATCTTGCCAACTGCTCAGTGTCTGCCACCCCTTGCTGCCAATCCCTCCACTGGCTTCCAATTTCCAACAAATTAAATTCAAGATACTTAAAAGAACTTACAAAGCTATCCACAACTCGGCCCCCAGATACATCACTACCCTAGTCTCAAATTCCAATCAAATAATTCTCTTCGTTCCTATCAAAACCTCCTGCTCTCTAGCTTCCTTGTTTCCTCTTCCCTTGCTCGCCTCCAGGACTTCTCCAGAGACTCCCCATCCTCTGGAAAGCCCTACCCCAATGTGTCCAACTATCTCCTACTCTGTCCACTTTTAGACGGTCACTGAAAACCTATCCTGCCCCTACCTAACAACTATACATGTATCTTCTTCATCAGCCCATCCCCCACAGGTATTACCTCTGATTCCTCCTGTATTAAAAATTGTATTGTAATTTTACTGTCTGTCCTTATGTTGTAAAGCTCTGAATAAACTGTTGCCGCTATATAAATTCCGTATAATAATAATGCATGTATTTTGTAGTGCACCGCAATTCCCAAATGCGAATCATCCTTATGGTGTGGTGTACTGCTTTGTAGGGAAAAAAAATGCCTCGTTTCCATTAACATATGCTTTTCAGTGCATTAGCAACCCACGCAAAGTGCATGGACTGCAACACGTGGAGTTTCCCTTAAACTAACTGACTGCATGAGCAAAATATAGGTTTGTTGGATGTCAAACCTGTTAAAACAGCTTTAACACCAAGTTCAGTGTTCCTACATGCTGCATAGTATTGACCTTCCGTGTGTACGGACATTAAATGGGATGGTTTGCACACAAAAGTCCACTAACCCACCTTACCCTCACTACTCAAATATACAGTGGGTATAGAAAATCACCCCCCTTTAAAACAATCACATTTTGTTGCTTTGCAGTCAGAAATTAAGACAGACAGGTTTTTGTTTTATCCAGCTGCATTTACTCAGTGCAATCTATAACATCCAAGTAAAAGATATAAACACCAACATGTCAGAAAAAAAAAAAAAAAATCAAAAACAGAATCACTGAGTTGGAAAAAGGATCACCCCCTCCTTAAATATACTGTGTGCCATTGAGAAGGTGATTAGCTACACCTGATTGAGTTTAAAAAAAGTAATTATTAAGAGGGGAGTGATCATTTCAAAAACAAAATGTGGTTATTTTAAAAATGGGGGGGGGGGGGGGGGGGGGGTGATGATTCTTTTCTATACTCACTGTACCTTGCTTTCATTATGTCTGTACATTGAACTTCATTATGTTTACCTGTCTTGCAGCTTATTCTTAATCATTTGAGCCTCATTTAACTTCTCATTTGTCTCATAAAGGTCTCCGTTGAGCACATCCACCTTTTGTTTTAGCATCTCTACTTCCCCAGATAGCTGGAAAACAGAATTCACATCATTTTTAAAATATAGTAAATGAGATGTAAAAGTCATCTTTACCATCATATAAACACACTATAATCGTATACACTGACCTGTGACTAAGCAATTCCATTATTGTTGCCTACCCTGAATAATAAACGTGGAGAATAACTACAAAAAATGGGCTCTAATGTCCAGGCTGCGATCTTTTCAAATAGTGACAGCAGGTACGGGGAGAAGAGGATTCCTAGCCTGCTGTCACAGGAAGGGGGGGGGGGGGAGAATCAGGGAGCTGCTGCAGGAGCATGTTATATGTCCCCAAACGTAAACTTATCCTTAAACAAAAAAAAACAACTGGAAAAAGTAATTCTGTGCAAACTGGACAATTGTTCTTTAGTCAAATAATAGCAACATCTTCCAATTCCCTCTCTTTCTCTAAAATGGTTACATAGTATCTTTTGCTACACAAAGACTATGTATATCCTGTGCTCCTTGGCTCCATCTATTGGCCATAATAAGAATTTTACTACTGCCGTTAATAAACAACATTTATTAAGAAATATTGCACAGTTTGCACACAACAAATGTACATGCAGATTATCTGTATGAATGACTATGCAATTTAAAAAAAAAAAAAAAAAAAAAAAAAAAAAAGGGACCCGCTTAATGATCAGGAATCAGGAGACCCGGTTCTCAAATCACTGTGAGCCTCTGATTGACTATCACAATGTTCAGTCACTGTTCAGCTGCCCCTGTGGTTTTTTTCTTCTCTGAACAGAGAGAATACATTTTATCTTTTTCTCCCTGCCAAAGGAGAAAAATGTAAATAAAACAAAAAAGTGTAAAAAAATAAAAGATAAAATAGCCAGATCAGGGTTTGCTCTAGATTGTCAGGGTCAAAAGGTCAAGTTCAGGGTCAAAGGCCAAGGTCAGTGTATTTTAGGTTACATAGTTAGTCTGGCTGAAAAAGACAAAAGCCCATCCAGTTCAACTATTTAAAAAAAAAAAAAAGTTACAATCCTATACCCACAGTTGATCCAGAGGAAGGCAAACCCCCCCCCCCCCCCCAGCAAAGCATGATGCAATTTGCTCCTGCAGGGAAAAAAATTCCTTCCTTCCCCGAGAGGCAATCAGATATTTCCTGGATCAACTTTACCTATAAATGTTAGTATCCAGTTATATTCTGTGTATCTAGGAAAGAATCCAGGCCTTTTTTTAAAGCAATCCACTGAGCTGGGCAGAAACCAACTCTTGAGGGAGTCTATTCCACATTCTCACTGTGAAGAAACCTGTTTGGAGATTACATTTCTTTTCCTCCAGACGTAAAGAGTGCCCCCTTTTCCTCTGTGATGACCTCAGGGTGAATAGCTCTACACCAAGTTTACTATATGAACCACTGATGTATTTATACATGTTGATCACATCCCCCTTAATCTCTTCTCAAGAAAGAATAAATTCAGTTCCTCTAATCTTTCCTCATAGCTGATCTCCTCCATGCCTCTTATCAGTTTGGTTGCACTTCTCTGTACTTTCTCCAGTTCCCCAATGTTCTTTTTGTTAATTGGTGCCCAACAGATAAGGTAAGATTAAACATTTTTTTTTTTAAATGAAAGATAGAAAAAGGAAAATGCCCATTATTTGTGGCCCTGCTATGGATACAAATAACAACAAATATACACATGTGGTAATGCTGCGATCGTCAGGAGCAAAATAATTTATTTTGGGTTCTTTGGTGGTAGATTATAGTAATAACAAGAAGTATACAGCTAAATCTTAAAATAAATATATACTTTTTTTTATAACTAGTTTTGGGACAGTTTTGCTTGCCCTGGTGAGAGCCTGGTCTCTGTGCCAGGAGCTCATTGTGTAGCACACTCCCAGCACAAACACAGGTAACAAATGAAAGCCCAATAGCCCAATTTGTCCTCAACAGAAAAAAAAAAAGTATCCAGTTGTGATCAGGGCTGCTGTTAGAATATGGGACCCCATACATATACTGATACAGCATTGGTATAGGATACACTTGATCTTGTGTGCATTTGCCTGGTTGCAATGGATAACACACACTTAATAGTTCAGATAGTTTGACACACAAGGCTCATTAATTTCACAGCTTACTTACAAGTTCTGCAGCCTGTCTATCTTCATCAGTTTGTTCCACTATTGGATCCGTTTCCGTTTCTTTATGTATGTAATTTGAGGATTTCTTTTCTAAATTTGACAGTCTAAACACACAAAGCACATTTTAATAACAAAACTAGGTGTATACATTAAAAGCAGCTATTAATTTGTTGTGAATATTTGTTTTATTCCAGCTCAATGGTACTGTGACTTTTACACAAACCAGAGTTTGTAAAGACTATCAAGAAAAAATGTGTCTTTAAATGACAAACTCCCACTAACATGGGGGTACATAATCAGATGAATACATCTACCAGTAGGCCTAGTACCTCTCTGAAGAGACCCCTACCATATCACCTCTCCAATAACAAAGGAAGAAACAACAATAATACATTTAGAACACCGGTAAGGGGTCATTCTGGGAATAGACCACAGATCCCGCTTCAAAACCACTGGAGAGGGTCCAATAGGAGTAGGCTAGTTTCACAAACGGAAACTAAGTGGATTTATGATATGAAGACTTTAACCCCTGCAGGCCACAATATAGACATTGATATCAATTGTTTTATAGAGAACAGCTGATTTTATCATTATTTATTGTCTATATCTAGAGCCCTGCCTTTCTTATCCATTTTTATCTAATTTTTGTGGCTCTATCAAAATTATTTCTATCTGTGTACGTTAGCTTTTATACTATTTGATAGTATCCTGGTCTATTTTATAATAATAATAATAATAATTCATGGAGCAAGCCTGCTTGAGTGCCCCCATAGCAAGAGGCTGGCTATTGGGGGGAACTCGGAAGGGGGCAGGAGCACCGGAGGGGAACCCGAAAAGAAGAGGATCAGTGCTGCTCTGTACAAAACCATTACACAGAGCAGGTAACTATAATGTGTTTGTTATTTAAAAAAAAAAACAAAACACAAACAAAACCAAAAACACACAAGCCTTTAATTTTATTTTAAGGCAAGCAGAGGCAGAGCTAGGAACCGGGAGAGGAAATCTTTTGTTGGGATTCACCCAACCAACACATTCTTACTGACCAGTTAAACTGTTTAAACAATTCACAATTACATTACGAAAAAAAAAAGAAAAGGGGAGTCACATTATTTTCTGAGGTTATATATGGATAGGATATCACCAGTTATCAAAAATTATTTAAATAGGAAGTAAATTATCTTGATGTCAAAGTAAATATTCCTGGCAAAAGTAAAGAATCTTTTTTGGCCATACTTCTTCTGGGTCACAGAAGTTCTCTTACTGTATTTCTGTACTCTATGACCCAGATTCAGCCAACAGCATATGTAGATTATTTTTTTTTTTTGCAATCCCACATTTTTCCTTTAGGGTTTGTTTACATGGGTGGCCAGGGGGTGGTAAAAAGCAGCAGTGGTTTTACTGCACCCCCAGCCGCCCACTTGAACGGAGGGACCAATGATAGCAACAATGATAGTCACACATCTGAACAAACCCTGATACTACAATGAGGGAGATCCAACTTTATAACTTCCTGCCTGCTACTGGTAATTAGAAGAAGCATTAATATATGTATCACTGTCTTTTTCCAACCAGATAGTGACCAAGCATGTCTATAGCTATGTTATCTGTCTCCCATAACACATAATTACATCTTTGATATGCAACAGTCAACTTAGAAAATAGGACACGTCTAAAGCTATGAAGCAAAGAGCCTGCAAGAATAGATAAATAGGAGCTGCCCTCAGACTTATTTTTGAAGTTGCACTTTCCATATTTGCTAGCTAGCGAGTCAAAGAGCAGGATGACACTGCTGGACCCTGCACCATTAAGACCTCTTGCACACCAATGCCTAAAAAGGCATAGAGGAATTTTTTTTTTGTACTAAATGTTGAACGTTGTTTTCAAAAGGTGCCTGTTCACACAGGCACGTAAACATACACTACATTGAGATCAGGTAAAAAAAAAACACCCCAAAAAATTTGAAATCTGAGTTGCTGGTCAGTATTATATGTGTATACTTGCAAATACATTAATTCAATACAATAAAACAACACATTTTGGGAGGAAGAACTTTTACACACGTACTCGCACAATAGGCACCTGAAATTTCGGCCAGGAATACTGAGGTTCAAACATTGTTACCATGTGCGAGTACCCTAAAAGTAAGTTAGCAATGGCAGCTTCCTATTTCTGTCCTCATGTATTCACTTTAAACCTACTTATGTATGTAAATGTCTGGTGACTGCATTTTTCTACTCCTGCAAACATAATAGCACCCATTATTATAACTAGCGGAACTAGCTGTATTATATAATTCTCTATTGTAACATGTAGAATTAAAAGCTACAACCAGTTCAGGACAAAATGTGAAAATTGAAGTGCACTGCATTGTTGTGAAAGCTCATTGTTGTGAAAGCAGTGAACATTTAATTCTACGGTTACCCAAGGCTAAGCAAAACACATTTAGAGTTCCTGTGTAATAAACTACTAGCTCGACAGACAATGGTAATCATTACACAGGAATAAATGTTTGCATTACTATTGTTTTTGGCACTCAAATGTATGAACGTTTGGAGTGTAAATTCTGGTAGAGCAGGGATAAATACTGATATGTTTTACAACTATAAAAAAAACAAAGAACGACAGTGATATTACAGAAAACGTTCATCTCTGGGAACATCTTACATGTTCCACTCGTTTTTAGGGTGGGACATGTAACATGTTCCCAATGCTGCAGATGCCGCCCACTGCTCCCTCTCCCTGTGACAGAAGTATGGGGAGAAGTTCCCTGTACTAGCTGTCAGTATTTAAAAACAGCAAGGCTGAGTGGGCCTCTGCCCACGCGACCGCACCATTCATACACAGTGTTCCTGTAAATGAATGAATGAACTACAAGACCTGACAGCCTTAGCAGCTGTCGGCTTGTAGTTCTCAATGAACTACCATGGTGTTGTGTAGTGCCGTGGTAGTTCACTGATTTTTCCTGTCAGTATATCTGCTTGCTTGTATATCCCATACGGGGAAGCAGACATAGTGACAGATCTGCAGGAGACCTGCATAGCACCAGCGATCTGTTGATCACTGGTGCAATGCTTTACAGGCTCCTGCAGCCAAAAATAATAAAGGCACACTTTTTTTACCTGTCAGAAAATGTGCATTTATTATTTTTGTGCAAAAGGTGAACTTATCCTTAAACGTATTATAAAAGTAGTAATAAGAAGAAGCAAACATTATTCCAAATTGCAGAAGTCTCTTAAAAAAACAAAAGGTAATAAAATTGCTTACTTCTCATTTGCACTTGTTAGCTCTCTCTGCAATTGATCAACCTTTTCAGTTTCCTCACGCAAGCTATGAAGGAGTTTTGCTGCTGACTGCCAGTTCTTCTGATTCCTTTCCACAGCTGTCTTCCTTAGAGGATGTTGTCCTATCATAATAAATATTACTACTCAGGTATCCAAATAAAATAGCTGCTAGTATTTCAGTTTTATGACAAATCAACATAGAAGCTGACATGATTTTGGAAAGTATAGTTATTGAAACTGTCTCTCTACTTCAGTCTGCAGCCATACATAATATTCTATGACTGATGAATTACATTAAGATTCCTCATCTCCTCATAATTGCAGCCAACTACACTTTATAGTCAGAATTCACACAACTCTGCATATACAGCTGGCACACTTCCTCTCATACAGAATTACAGATAGCCCTAGGTCAACGACATGATGCTTGTATGAAATCTGGCATTCCCAGCTTATTTTACATGGGCACGGTGATCCGTACAGTGTGAATGAGCTGTTTATGTGGCTGGAGCTATATGCATGTTACTGCATGGGGATGCAGCAGCTGTTTGGACACATCTGCAGGTCCTAATTTGACAGGCATGCAAGAACAGCTGCGCAGCCCTGAACATCATTCCAAAACACAGCTCAAGGTGGTTCCCGCCACTTAAAAAGAGAGTTCGTTCTGCACTCGTGACCCATTTTCAGCTGGGAGAACTGAGCGATCAGTGTTGTTTGATTGCTCAGTTCTCACCCTTTGAGCTGGCATGTGACAGATGCATCATCGCATCGATGCTGCGTCCATCTAGGCAAGTATGATTGAAAAAAAAAAAAAAAAACACACACACAACAACATACTTCTCTTTTGAAAGAGCTCATTTATGCATTATAGGTCACAGCACCTGTGTAAATGCAGCCTTAAGCTGACCATAGATGGATTGAAATTCATCTCATGCAGCAGGACGAATTTGAATTCATCTATGGACCATTCCTGCTCAAGAGAAGTCAATCTAAAGAGTAATTTGATTGAAATGGGCCTGCTGGAAAATTTTTTAGTGGATCAGAGTCTGCAGTGGAGAAGTACCTGCTATCAGAGTACAACAGCACAACAGGGAGGATTCCTCCATCCACTTTGCTTACATGGATGAGGGAATACAGTCTTTTTTTTTCTGATCAGCCCACCAGCTGATCGAAAAACAAAAAGAGCAATGTGTGGACAGCCTTAGATGTACAGTGTGTATAAGAGGTGAAAGTCCCAGTACAGTAAACCTTTTAATTACCCAAGCCTCAAAGTTAACCTTGCTTAGTCCACTATAAAAAATTCAGCTACAATTAGTTTCACAGACTGCTAACATCTGAAAGCATGTTGGGGTTGTCATTTTGAGCTGCTCCAATGTGTAATTCAGCAGCGTTGTAAGCATGCAGGTGACCTGGGCAGAAGTGAAGGATCTAAGGCTATAAGAAGATCTCTACTTTTCCTCAACTGTTTCCTCTGCAGCACTAATGCACAGTTTTATGGCAGTACAAAATTATGAGTGTACTCAATATAGCTGATATACTCAACTGCATAATAGCAACGTACATAAAAACTGGGCCCTGATGTTCACATTAAGATTAAAGACAGATGAGATAAACATGTTTAAAGGAGAACAAAGAGTGAAAAGTAATATAAATGGTAGAAGTTAAATTGCTACATTTACAGTTTCCATCATAGACACCTTGAGGAGTGATCTGCATTCCCATATGTCTGCAGCATACTATACACACCTGTATGTAAGCATTTCCGGAAGTAATGTGTCATCCTCTGCCTTGCTCTCCGTCACCTCTTCTTTAGTGTCTTTTCCCTAGAGCATGGAAAGAAGAACCAGAAATACTAAAAAGTGGTCTTTTTTTTCACATTGAATATCTTTCTTTATTTTTCTATATGTTGTTATTCCATGCACAAGGTAAAAAAAAAAAAAAACGGATGATAACATCTCCTTTACCTCCTGCAAAGTGAAAGGTGCTCAATTGTATTACATAGATTTGGCCATATTGTGTAATATGATTTGAGCACTTTTTACACTGCATAAAATAAAGTTTGATTGGTGCACGAGTTAGATGCACAGGTTAGTGAAGCTCATCACTTCCACAATATTGTTAATAACTCTCTCTACCCTTAACAGTGGCAGTCCAATGTAGCAAGTTTAAGTGAAAGCTATACTGTTGTGAGGTCTCTCCTGCTGTATAGCGAGCCAACAGTAATGATCTTGTTAGATGTGCAGAGTATAAGAAAGGCAGATATGCCTAGAGTCTGCTTATAGTGTATGGTTGAGCAGAACATTGGATAAGTGATTAGCACTTCTGCCTAGCAGCAGTAGGGTCAATGGTTTGAATCCCAACTATGGCACTACCTGCCTGGAGGTTGCATGTTCTCCCTGTGTCTGTATGGGTTTTCTCCAGGTACTCCGGTTTCTTTCCACATTCCAAAGACATGCTGGTAGGTTAATTGGCTCCTTGCCTAAATTGGCCCCAGTACGAGTATGTATGAATGTGTGTTAGGGACTTTAGACAGTAAGCCCCTTGAGGGCAGGGACTGATGTGAATGTACTATTTGCCATTTGTAAGGCATTATATAACTATAGCTTGAATATGTTTTGGTAAATACCTGAAAAAAAAAAAAAAAAAATCTAAAATTGTGCCTGTGTCTAAATATATATGGATTGAACTGTACACACACACACACACACACACACACACACACACACACACACACACACACACACACACACACACACACACACACACACACACACAGACACACACGCACACACACACACACACGGCTGGAGAGGTCTATTGATGCTGGCTGCAGGGGTTCAATTGTCACTGTAGGGGATCTGTTTTCTAGTGGGGTCTATTGTTGCTTGTGGGGAGTCAATGGTTGTCTCCGCCCCCTCTGAGCACTGTCCTTTGGTTCCACCCCCTACCCATCTCCCAATCCTGCCCCTTTTAGAGAATACAGAACCAACTATCATGTTGTGGTGCAAGTACTTTGTATGGAATTTGTTTATGATGACAACAAAAAGTAGCAAAACAGATCCCCTGTAGCCAGCAACAATGGATGCCACCAGCAACAACAGACACCCGCCCCCAGCAATAACTCCTCCCACAACAATAGACCCCCCCAGCAACAAAATACAACAAAATACTACCACAGCAACAATAGGCACCCAGCAGCAACAACAGATCTCCCAGCAGCCAGTATCAATAGACCTCTCCCTCAACAATAGATCCTTCCCAGCAATAATTGACTCCTTACCACAACAATAGACCCCACCACCTATAAGGGATCCCCGCCACTGACAATAGATCCCCTGCAGCCAGCATCAATAGATATCACCAGCACACCCCAGCACCCCTTGCCATTACATACATTCAGTGCTGGAACTGTATTCCCCCACATTCCCGCTGAAAAAAAGCCCTGTATATATGTAAAGTGCTGTGTAAATTGATGGCGCTATACAAATAAATAAATAGGGCACAATAGAAAAAGAATGTATGAATTACATCTCTGCAACACATGCACATTCCGCCATGTGTTATCCTTTTAAAGACCCTGCAAGTACAAAAAGAATACCTATTGATCTGCCACTAATGCCCTCAGTTATGGAGTCCTATTGTATGCTGACAACACACAGTATTTTTGTGGACTGGTGTCCATTTTTTCAGAGTGGCATCAGCCCTGTCCAGCTTTTTTTTTTTGCTAAACTACTCTCCTAACTACATAATATAGACCCTGATCATCCTGTACTCCCAGTGTAAGAATTAGGAGGCCAATTACTCTCCTTGAGATAACAGAAGACGTGCACAAAACACAGGACAGCTCTGAACTTCTGATGTGATCAGGAGGTCTTTTTTGCAATTATCAAACAGATATAACACAATGCTTTCATTGTTATATTTAAACGACCAAAAGGGAATAAGCAAAGAGAAGTACATTATTAGGGTTTGCATACACCTCAAAACAAGACCGGTGGATATTTTATTTCAGAGAAAGAATAAGCTGTTTAATTTCAAATGAAATTTTTCAACTTACTGCAAATCTGATTTCAACAAATGAGTCATCAGATGCACAACTGTTAAGTTTTACTTGTAGCTCAGAAATAATTCCAAGAAGATCAGCCTTCTCTGCCTGAAGACGAACAATCTGGGCCTTCAGCTGTTTCAGGTTTTCGTCTTCACTCTACGGGACAGAACATATTCAAGAGTAAAAGACACGAATGCGAATATATGCAGATATTACATGGCTTTACAGCTGCTTCAGATAAAACTATAAGTCCTCATGCACATTGGACGTTTTGATAACGCTGGTAACATTAGCTGTGTAAAGTCACGTTAAAAACGTGAGTTTTTCAGCTTTTTTTAGCATTTTTGCGGCATATTTTAGCACCAAAAAGTTTTTTTTGAGGACTAGCTGTTGTGCAATGGCTTCTGCATTTGGAATACAACAATGAGAAGCTCGAACATGTGGGATAATTTACTAAACCCGGAGCAATACCAAAGACAAGTACCTGTGTATCCAGATGTTTCTCTTTTAAATGCTGGATTTCACTCTTCAGTAATTCATTTTCTTTACTAAAATCTAATGCACGATGTTTAAATTCTGGAGTTCCAGGCTCACCCCGTCCTTGCTCCTCCCTTTTTAAGAGCTCTTCGAGGCGCTCCTTCATTTCCTGACTTTTCTGCTTTATGGTTTCTAAACAGAAGATACACATTATTCATTCATTTGTGTAATCTTGCAACAGACAGCAGGAGCCTACAGTGTTCTTAAAGTAGAACTCCAGACCCTTTTTTTTTATCTGGATCAAGTGAGGAGGAAGATCAGTTAGGTTTTTGCTGTGTTCGTCCCCCTTGGAGAGGGGTTTCCTCACTTCCTGTGTCAATGATGGTGGTCACTGAGACTGAAAATTAGGTGAACTCTCCCCAAAAGAGACCTAGACAGTAATAAACACCTAGCAGAGGTTCCCTTTGGTTACAACTCTATGCAAAATATTTCTCAAAATTTTATGCATATTATTACTCAGGCTAGCTTCAGAATA